TCTCATCTGTTACATCAATTAAATAGTAACATTTTCTCGGTGGGATCTCCACAAAGATAAGGTCAGAATCACATCTACTGACATGTCCGGGAAACAGACTCTGAATACCGGGCACCTCTGACGCACATATATGACGTCAATGGTACAGATAGAATGCCGTTTAATTGGTAATCTGTGTGTCCAACGACTTAATATGGCACCCTATTACAACAACGTATAGGGATGTTACATCCTATGTATTGGCGAATTTGGTGTCAGTACAACAGCTTTATATACAGATATAGTATATCCAATATATGGGTATAATTTGTGTCAGTACAACAGCTTTATATACAGATATAGTATATCCACTATATGGGTATAATTTGTGTCAGTACAACAGCTTTATATACAGATATAGTATATCAAATATATGGGTATAATTTGTGTCAGTACAACAGCTTTATATACAGATATAGTATATCCACTATATGGGTATAATTTGTGTCAGTACAACAGCTTTATATACAGATATAGTATATCCAATATATGGGTATAGTTTGTGTCAGTCAACAGCTGTATATAGATAATATATCCAATATATGGGTAGAACTTGTGTCAGTACAACAGCTGTATATAGATAATATATCAAATATATGGGTATAATTTGTGTCAGTACAACAGTTGTATATAGATAATATATCCAATATATGGGTAGAACTTGTTTCAGTACAACAGCTGTATATAGATAATATATCAAATATATGGGTATAATTTGTGTCAGTACAACAGTTGTTTAGGAAATTATATCTAATACCTTAGCATAATTTGTTTCGGGACAGCAGTTGTCTAAAGTTGTTTTAACACCTGGGTATACCTTGTGTGGGTACAACTGTTTTTAAGCAATGTTCTTATAATAGAATATAGTTAATAAAGTTTATGTTATTACAACAGTTGTACAGCGATGTTACATGTATATCTGAATGTTCTACCAAGTAATACGTTTGTGCATAATTTGTGTCGGTACATGCACAACTAACCAGTTACAAAGGGATGATATGCGTGTATATATGTAGTGTATATACATGTATGTAGTGTATATATGTAGTGTATATACATGTATGTAGTGTATATATGTAGTGTATATATGTAGTGTATATATATGTAGTGTATATATATGTAGTGTATATATGTAGTGTATATATGTAGTGTATATATATGTAGTGTATATATGTAGTGTATATATGTAGTGTATATATGTAGTGTATATACATGTATGTAGTGTATATATGTAGTGTATATACATGTACACTTTTGTATGTAGTGTATATATGTAGTGTATATATATGTAGTGTATATATATGTAGTGTATATATGTGTATATATATGTAGTGTATATATATGTAGTGTATATATGTAGTGTATATACATGTATGTAGTGTATATATGTAGTGTATATACATGTATGTAGTGTATATATGAAGTGTATATATAATGTAGTGTATATATGTAGTGTATATATGTAGTGTATATATATGTAGTGTATATATATGTAGTGTATATATGTAGTGTATATATGTAGTGTATATATATGTAGTGTATATATGTAGTGTATATATGTAGTGTATATATATATATGTAGTGTATATATGTAGTGTATATATGTAGTGTATATATATATATGTAGTGTATATATGTAGTGTATATATGTAGTGTATATATATGTAGTGTATATATGTAGTATATATATGTAGTGTATATATATGTGTATATATATGTAGTGCATACATGTAGTGTATAAATGTAGTGTATATATGTAGTGTATATATATGTAGTGTATACATGTAGTGTATAAATGTAGTGTATATATGTAGCGTATATAAATGTAGTGTATATATGTAGTGTATATATGTAGTGTATATATGTAGTGTATAAATGTAGTGTATATATATGTAGTGTATATATGTAGTGTATATATGTAGTGTATAAATGTAGTGTATATATATGTAGTGTATATATGTAGTGTATATATGTAGTGTATAAATGTAGTGTATATATATGTAGTGTATATATATGTAGTGTATATATATGTAGTGTATACATGTAGTGTATAAATGTAGTATATATATGTAGTGTATATATGTAGTGTATATATATGTAGTGTATATATGTAGTGTATATATATGTAGTGTATATATGTAGTGTATATATATGTAGTGTATATATATGTAGTGTATATATGTAGTGTATATATGTAGTGTATATAATTATATGCGTGTATATATGTAGTTTATGGATAACTTTTTGTTAGTACAACAGTTATACAACGATACAACGATGAGTGGAGTAACAAGTAGCTACTCCACTTCCATCCGGACAATTGCAAAGCCATGAGAATAGGAAAGACCAATAGCATTACCTTCACATACAACCTAGAAGATCTAGATGGTAAGGAACTTCCGTTTACCGCCAACGAAAAAGATATAGGTGTAACAATTGATAACAAACTGACATTTGATGTACATATATCTGAAAAATCAATAAAGCGAATTCGATTATGGGTGTAATTAGGAGAACTACATGTATGGAATATATGGATCATAATACACTCAAAGCTCTGTACAAAGGGCTCGTTAGACCTCATCTTGAATATGCCAACCAAGTTTGGAGCCCGCACCTGATAAAACATATAGAAGCCATTGAAAACATCCAGAGAAGAGCCACTGAATTGATACCGGGTATGACAGATCGAGCTAGACCTGTCCTACCCAGAGAGACTTGAGCTATTGCAGCTCCCAACATTGGCTAACAGACGCGTCAGGGGAGACATGATAGACCTTCTTTTTTAAATAATGACAGGAAAATATAATCTCGAAGTGTCCAAGTTCATGTCACAAAAGAAGAACAAATTAATACTGTTACAAGGGGTCAACTATACAAGGATAGAACGCGCCTAAACACGAGAAAGAATTCATTTTGTCACAGAACCAGTGGCGGATCCAGACACCTATCTGGGGGGGGGGGTTCCAAATTTCCTGGGGGGGGGGGTTCCATGTTGGGAAAAATTAAGGAAAGTGGTGAAAATACATGATTTTTAAAGAAAATTCTCAGGGTGGGGGATTTTTGTATCCACCCGTAGTTAAATACATGAACTGAATATACTTTCTGATCATTAATTATCAAACTAATGTTGTGAACACTAATTACTCTTATTGGAAATTTATGTATAATTTATGTTTTTCACCTCAGCTATTGATGACAAATGTCCATGCTCTTATCAGAATTTGTTCAAACCGTATTGAGCTGACGTATCTGCATTTGCTCTGCATCCTTCCATTGTAATGCATCGCGAAGGCAAATGTTGTTATGAGACTATAACAACATTTGCTATTGTATCGTCATCAATCTCTTTTGTGATGTCATCAATTTCATAGTTGTCAACACTTTATTTGCGGCTCAAAAACTGTTCGAAATAAATAATAATAACTATATCAAAATGTAAATATAAATAATGGATTGTTTAGTAAATATTTTTATGGTCCTATAACACACATTTTAAAACATTCATTGCTTAAATCAGTAAACATTTAAGCAATGAATGTTTAGCAATTGTTGTTATGATCCTTTAACACACATTGCTATTGATGACAAACTTAATAAAGCCCGGTAGATCTAGAGCTTCATGTAAGTTTGTCAGCAATAGAAATGTGTATTATAGGACCATAACAATATTTGCTAAAATATTCATCATCTATATTTACATTTTGAAGGAATAGTTCTGCTTTATTTAGTTATTTCGAACAGTTTTTTAACAGCAAAATAAGTGTTGACAACAATGAAATTGATGACGTTACAATAGAGATTGATGACGTTACAATAACAAATGTTATTATAGTCACATAACAACATTTGCCTTCCCAATGCATTACAATGGGAGGATGCAGAGCAAATGTAAATATTTAATTTAGGACATCATACAGCTTAATTGCAACGTCAGGTTTTCCCGCCAATCTCATGACTTTCCATATGTTGCTTGGTTCCTTCTACCCTCCCAAATGTCACTTTCTCTCTTTAAATAATTTAAAAGTATTTTAAATTGAGTTTTCCTCTCCATCTTTTTATGTGAATCACTGTTCTGCCCAGTCAACAGAGCTGCTAAGATTCTCAAAGTTGTGAATATTTGCTCAGACCAAAAATATCAGGGATGGCCTGACTTAACCCGGGGTCGATTTCCCCGGTCTCCCTTACGTCTCTTAATTGATAGACATATATTACAACGTGACAGATTAGGATTCGTTGGACAATTTACCGGGATTTATTTAGAAAACTTGATTTAGGAGAGTATCAAATCAGCTTTTTATCGGTTTTAAAGAGTGTGGTTCTTTTGCAGCCTGAATTTTTGTTTAAACAGTCGGTTCTTCCATTAGAAAAATTAAAAAATTTAAAATTTAAATTATTTCAATTCATTCACCAGCTACAGCTTTCTAACAGACAAGGTTACCGGAAATTATTAGCCTAACTATATATCATTATTCTGAAGTTTGCATAAACCGTATGGGTCGTTTTGGATGAGATTTTTGGTGATTTGGGGAAAACTTGATCGCTCACCGCCCGACTTTTAGCCCCATGGTTTGTCCAAAGGGTTTGAAAGAAAACGTCTGCAATGAAGTATATAGGTTTAAAATAAAATAAAACTGTCCCTGCTGAGCGTCGAACCCTTGTGTATTGTGTGCTGTGTACATTAGAAATGATGAAACCAGAGACATTCCGGTGAAGCTCTTCGGAAAATTCGTCCATAGCAACAAATAAACTAATCGTGACTACGGAGGTGTAGGGATATTTAAATACATATAATAAAATACAAAACTGAAAATAAAATCTACATATTATAATTGTCACACAATCTTATACTTATGATATATTTTTTTGACTTTTCAATTTACAAATAAACTACAATTATACAACATTGTAAACATTAGTTGTGAACTATTTTCTGTTATCGTGAAGTAGTTCCTAAAATCCAACATGGCGGCAAGTGCCAAAATGTCGTTTAACTACTATCAAAATGGGAAATATGGCACGTTACCGGCAGATCCACAAAAGGACATGGAAGTTTCACAGGACATGCATCTTAAGATGTCAAAGAAAATTGCCCAGCTCACAAAGGTGCATAATTTTACCAAATAACGTGTTGTTATCGGGTTTTACTTTGGCGACATATCCCTGTGTTTACGTTTTGTGTGTGTGTTACTGTGTAGTAACATGTCAAGAGATGGTAAATATGACGGAAAATAAGACAACAATAAAACAGTAAATATAGGACGATAGGGACTGGGTTCGTTTAAATAAATATCAAAGTAGGAATGCCCATCGTCACACCTCTAACATGTGTTAGCTCAGGGATTTTGTGACTGGTTTAGGCCTACACCTGTCGTAAATAAAAGTTCCAGGGGGAATATGCATGAATATATATTCTCATGTGGNGGGGGGGGGATTGTGCATGCTCAGAAAAAAAAGCATAGATAAAATGAGTGAAAAATAACACTTGTAAATGACATCTTTTGAGCTGTTCTTTCAAATGAAATCATCAGAACTTACAAATTAGAAAAAAGGAATAGTTTAACAAACTCACTGGTACAAAATGCTCAATTTAAACAAAATGGGTCCAAAAGGATAAATTGGGACTCTCCCTCCTAAATAGGGAGAGTTGGCAAGTATGCTATTTTGAAGAATTTTACAAATCTGTGTAAGACGATTTGTTCACAATTTCCCAAATGGTTATTTCGCCCTAAATCCAGTTTGCCCCAAGTTGTTTCGTTCCAATTTTATTTCTTTTTAGTTATTCTATCTTGTTAGATGTTGTTAATGATAAAAAAAATCTTACTATTGTCATGTTTCACTAACAATATACAAAATATATTGTGCAATTGTACGTATATATGGAGATTATTATATGACCATTTTGATATCACACCCCATATCAACCCGAGAGTCCTGATATTAGGACTCGAGGGTTGATTGGGGGATGTGATATCAAAATGGTCATATCATAAACTTTTTATCATGTTTTTTTCCTTTAAAATAAACAAAACACACACAAAAACAATGATGTATATAAACAAAACAGTAACAATTATACGTAAAAAGTCAATATTTAGAAATTCCCAAATTCCTACAAAATGATATGGTTATTGAAATTTGGGTGGGGCTTTGTAAATCAATCTTTAAATTATTTTTCATGAAACCGCAGTTATTCCATGTCAACAATTTGTTTGTTTACATTAAAAGTAGACAGCAATAAGCGGAAGCAGCAAAATCCAGAAATTTGGGAGGGGGTGTGATATCACTTTTCTAGGGGGTGTGATATCACTTTTCTAGGGGGTGTGATATCACTTTTCTAGGGGGTGTGATATCACTTTTCTAGGGGGTGTGATATCACTTATCACTTTTCTAGGGGGTGAGATATCACTTTTCTAGGGGGTGTGATATCACTTTCAGGGGGTGTACATGTGATCACTCCAAGCCGGTGTGATATATCACCCGGGCTGATATCAGCTTAGTGGAAATTTTAGACTTATTACACATACAAAAAGGGTGTTATTATTAATAAACATATGATAAATAGTGTAACCAGAAGAGGGGAGCTGACCATCCATGATACCAACTACTGTCGACTATTGTCCTGCACGGCCCACTTATATCACTTCTACGACTGTACAAGCCAAACTAGAGTAATCAGGCTTTTAAAAAGTTTCGCTCTAAAAAATCGTTTTTAGGGCGAAACGACCTAGCACGAAATGACTCTGGGCGAACAGGATTTAGGGCCAAACAACCCGTTCCCATCTCAAATCAAGAAACAGATTAAATGGGATCAATTTCATTTTGGATATATTTTATCTTACCATTATGACAGATTATATTTAACCATCTAGTTGAAAAATGCAGTGTCAAAATTTTGGTGTGGTATCAATGGGAACACTAATTCATTCTTCTCAAGGGAAAGTTGGTCAAAAGTTATATGTACAATGTAAAGCAGGACAATATGTACAAAACAAACAGCACAATACAAGCTCGGTACAAGACATGATGGATACTCAAGGCCGGCCTTCACTAAAAGCATGCAGACTGCAAACTATGCTACCAAACTTACATTGTATATATACTATTCTACAAAATAATACCTCTGAAACCCCCAAGGAGGGAGATCATCCTCATTCCACATTTCCAATGAGGGAGAAAGTGTGTAAAATGCTTCCGAAACGGCTTTGCTCAATTTTATCTTTCCCTAAAGAAAGGTATCAAATAACTCCAAAAATCATTCATTTGATTCAGACACACCTGTTATGATCATTACACACACCCTGCAGTAACCAGGAGAACGCCCCAAGTCCTTTGGATTTGAATAAGGGACTTTCGAGGGAGATTGGTAAATTTTGGTCAAAATGAGGGAGTTTCCCTCCTAATGAGGGAGGGTTGACAGCTATAAAAGATATTTACAATAAAGAAAAAATACACAACACCACACAATTAATGGAACCTCCTACCAGTAGCAGCAGTATCCCCCACACATGCAGTCTTTGAGTCAAATCTGCATCATAAACACATACATTGTAGACACATTTTTACTCTCTTTAGTTTGACTTCTATATATATATAAAACTAATAAAATAACAAATCACTGTACATACATGTATGCATTTTCATACATTCAGTCCACCAAACCTTTTGTTGACAATTTTCAAGATTGACGGCACCTTTCACCCAAAGAAGAAGAAGGATGCTTTAAATTGCTTTTTATTCTGTGGGATGATTTTTTTGCTAACAAACTGTTATGTATCCTTTTATTTGGCAAAAGTTTCTGTACAAATGAAGTCAGTGTAACAAGGTTTTGCTGTTATTTCCTTAGACATATTGCAAGTTATCCATGTGATAGATTACTATAATTGTTCATGTTTTGCAGGTTATTTATGCACTCAACACAAAAAACGATGAACACGATGCAGTTTTGCATAACCTCAAAGAACAGCATGAGGAAGAGATGCAAAAACTTCTGTCAGAGACAAAAGACAAGATCAGTGTGTTCAAAAGAAAAATGGATGAAGAAAATGACTATAGACAGAAGATTGCTTCGTTGGAAACCACCGTAGCTAACCACGAAAGATATAAACACGAAGCTCTGCATAGATTTGAAACGTTTAAGCAGCATGCTGAGGAACGTGAATGTCAGGTAAAAATGGACCACTCTCAAAAGATTCTCACATTATCACAAGAAGTGTTGACTGCCAAGAAAAACTTTGAAAAACAGTTGGAACAGTTTGAAGAATGGAAGAAAAATGTGGATTCTGAAAAAGAACAGGCTCTGTCAGACATGAAAAAAGCTCACCAAACAGAAATGGACGAGCTTCGTACATTTCAACGTACACAAAACTCAGACTGGTTAAACGAATGTAATAAAGTTGAAGACAAATTCAAAGGACAGATTGAAGAACTTAAGACACAGTTAGAAAATTTGAGTGTGGAAAAAGCAAAAAGTGCAGAAGAATATGAAGCAAAGCTATCAAAAGCTCAGGCATTTTATGAAAAAGAACTTGCTGCTTTGCGACAGTCCCAACATTCCTCAAGTGAAAATTCCAGCAAAATGCTTTTGGAGGAACAGGAAAAAATGAGAAAAGATTTTGCTGCCCAAGAAAGAGAATTGAAAAAGCAAATAGAAAGTCTAGTCAACCAATTGTCTATAAGTGAAGATGAGGTAGAGAAATACAAGTCAGAAATGGAGAAGTTAAAGATGGCACTAGATGGTCATGAGTCTAGTGCTGGCAGTCTACAGAAAATGGTAAGAAGTATTAGTATTTCTTGGATATAACAGGTGGTAAATGACCATTTTTTTTTATGTGGAATTGGAACCACAATATTGAACATTCTTCTAGAAAATCCTGTAATAGTTTGGTCTCCTAAGATTGCATACTTTAATATCTTCGTTTTGGTGGTGTCTTCCATCATGGCATGACACTTTTGGTGATCCCAATCTCAGAATGTTGTTATAGGCCATTAATGTACCGTACTAACAGGAGATGTTAAGAAAGATCTACATGTATGGTTATAATATTTATAACAAAGATTCATTTCAACACTTGCTTTTTCAGAACCCAGCATTTCTCCAGATAATGGACAAAAAAATAGTTCCAAAACAACTACGGTATCTGATTTCATGGAAAGGATCACTGACAGTTGATTAATTTTGCAAAATATAGGTTAAGTTTCTATCATTGAATGTGTCACATAATTCGTAAAATGGAAGTAATTATCAATTTTCTTAACATTTTTTTGCTCTACAGTTAGAGGAAGCCAAAAAGGAGGCATCAAGTGCTTTAACAAGATTAAAGGAAATTGAATCTGAATTGACGACGCACAAGGAACGTTGCAGGGAGCAAGCGGAAGATCTTCGCACGAAGTCTAGTAGGTTTAGTTAGTGTTTTGTAGCACATATTCATTTACTCACAGTAGAACTTGTACTTTTGTGCTCTGTTATAATCAAAAGGTTTTACTTCTTATGAATTTGGAGATTTTGATTTAGTCCACCAACATCAGATGCAGATGGCTTTTTGTCTGTTAGGGTCATCATCATCCTTAAACAATTATTGATTACTACTTGTCAACTAGTTCTAGAGGGATCTTTCTCTATTTTCATATACATAATACATACATGCATAACTTTCCCTCGGTTTTTGGTTATGAGGTTTTGAGACTGATCAACAAGAAAAAGATATCTGCCTCGTAATCTTGGATTTGGAAAGTCAAATATTGTTATCACTATTTCTCAGAAAGTTAACTGAAAGGATCTTTCTCAAATTTCATACATTGGTTTTCTTGATTCTTAGTTGTGCATGGTTGATTTTGTGACTGATAGGAAGAACAAGATGGTTGCCAGGCGGCCTTCTTCGAGTTTGTTAAAGTTTAATATCACCATTTCTCAAGAGCTACTGGATTGATCTTTCTCAAGTTCCTTACTTGTAGGTGTTTTGGTCCTCTGCTGAATCTCTTTAACTCATTCACCCCTGATATTTTATGATGAATCAGAAGAGTTCAAATTGTCTTCAGTAGTGAATGAGTCAATTTTGTCTTCAGGGGTGAATGAGTCAATTTTGTCTTCATCAGGGATGAATGAGTCAATTTTGAGACTAACCAGAAGAACTAAAGATGGCCACCTGGTTGCCTAGCTTCTTTGATTTAAATAGTTAAGAACTTAAGATTTATGTTTCATTATTTCTCAGGAAGTATCTGATGAATCTTTCTTAAATTGCAAGAATGAAGGTTTCCCTTGTTCCTTAGTTGTAGATGTTTAATTCTGAGACTGATCATAACAATAACATATGGCTGCCTGCAGCCATCTTTGATTCTGACACTTAAAAGTATGTTATTGCTAAAGATATCTCAAAAAGTCCTAGATGGATCTTTCTCAAATTTCACAAATAGGTTCCTTTTGCGCAATAGGATGTGCATGAATAAGATGCAGGTCTTCTTAGAATCTTGGCCATCTTAAAATTTGACACTTCAAATTTGTCATCAATTTATAAGATCTCTCAGGAAGTACTCAAGGGAGTTTTTCTTGAAGTTTCTCTCTGGGCACGTTTTGGATCATAGTTGCAAAATACCGGTATGTCTCATTTTTAGCTTTATCGAAAGAAGATATGGTAATATATAACCAGGCGGACATCTTGAATTTGACCATTGAAGTTTATTATCACTATTTTTTATAAGTTAAAAAGGCTATACCCTCGTTTCACAAATTTCATTTTGAGCTTCAAGCTGTTTTCCAATAGTTACCACGTAATATATAGCTACTGTTGACACTGACATCAACCCAACAGGTTACAAACAGTCAAACTTTCATACAGTAGAACTAACGAGACACATGCATGTACAATGATCGGGGCACCAAAAACCCTCTGGGATCTCATGTATTTATTTATATCCAATAATTTGCAGTTTAAAAAAATCAATATAAATGCAAACGAATCACTCAAGAAAATCAAAGTCTGGACTGTCATTCTTCCCTTACACAATTGAGTAACTACTTTAGTAGCTGGTTTATATTGGAAATGATACTGTCAACAGTTTTTAAATGTATATTTTTTCCAAGTTGAAAATAAGTTAATTTTATCTTGAATTTTCTGGAGAGATATTAGGGCTATGACAAAATCTGTGTATTAGGAAACAAGAATGTGTCTAATGATTCTGTAGAATATTTCGTTAAATACAAACTTCTTAAATGTTAAATCATGCTTGAAATTAAATTTAAAAGTTATTCTTTCCAAGAATTGTTTTTAGCATTTGAAATTGAATAGCCTATAGACAACTTTTCAGTAAGGATAATTGTAGTTTGATTGCTGGTTGGACTAGTATCTAATTATAAGAGGACATTGCAGGTTTAATTGGTGAGTTGGAGGTGACAAAAATACAGCAGCAGTCCACTATACAGGAACAGGCCGTCGAGATCCAGAAACTAAAAGACAAATTGGCATGGCTTGAGTCACAATGGAAAAATGTTGAGACAGAGAAAAACTCCCTTACTAAAGAACAGAACTCCCAACTTCTTTCACTACAGAAGGTCGGTATTTTGGTTCCTTTTTTTTACCCTGTTTAGTTATTTTTTAAGTTATTTAAGGTCCCTATGACTGTGATAACCATGCAGGTATTCCTATGATTTTGATTCTTCAAACTGGAGGAGTGGTTTTTAAACAGGAATATTCCAAACTTATCTGATTCACAAATATTGAGAAAACCCATCATAAATGCATTTGGATTTTTTTGAAGAAGCCATGTTTGATATCAAATTGTAAAAAAAGTGTTTGTTTTTTCAGTCATTGGAGGATTTGTCACTAGAGAAACAGACTTTGATGGCCAGATACGAACGAGATTTACAGAATCTACGAGACAAAATGGCTGTCAGAGAGAAAGAACTGGCTGATAAACACGCAGCAGAGAAACAGAACCTCAACAGAACACACCAGGATGTGTTGAAAACTCAGCAAGAAAAGGCAGACACTCTCCTGCATGAAACTAAACAGGTAAGGTTTACTCTGCTACTTTAAGTAGTGCAAGGGAGTTAACTCTTATTTAAAAAAATTGCCAGTCTTTGAGTGCAATTATACTTTTGTGAAATAATTATGAAAAGTCATTTTTAGCTTGTCTATTCGAAGAAATAGGAAAAGGGGGGCCAGAAAGGCTGGGGTTATGGGGGTCATTTTTTTGTTTTTAATATAGTCTTATAGCATATCTTATCAAACATAATCATGAGTTCTACATTTTAAAGCAAATTATTTTAGAATATGGTGATTGGGTGGGGGTAGCTATAGGGGTACTTGAGGGATAAGGGGTAAATAACTTTTTCTACTCTGTTTGAGGTAGGAACTTGAAACTTTTAGACATGGTACATTTATGTATGGAGAAGTGCACAACACTTTATGACTTTTGATATAACCCCCAGGAGCCAGGCCACAGGGGATGGGGTCATGGGAATCAAATATTAAAAAAAAGAAGACAAGTCTTATTATGAAAGTGAACAAATTAAATAATAAAAAAAAGTTACTGACATGGGTTTGAAAAAAAATAAAAAAATAATAACACAACAAGTGATGGCTTGTTAGATTCACAAATGTTGGCAATAGACGAGCTAATAATATTGCTGTTCTACAACAGCTCTTGTTTACATAAACGGTCCTCTTACCTGGTACTCAATCTACAAGACTACAGTGAAATACAATTAATTCTTTAAACGAATCTATCAAAATTTGTCTATTGACAGAAACTGGTAAAGCAACATGAAGAAGCTATGAGGAGCGTGAAGGAGGAGAGCGATGCTGTAACACGGGAGTATGACCAAAAGAATACAGACCTTACCAACAAACTGGCTACTTCAGAGGAGGAGGTTTGTCACTTGTCTTGTCTGGTTGTTTTGTTTAGTGTGTCATACAGTGGCAGTAGTTGTTTTTTAAATGGTTTGAACGAGACACAAGTTGTGGTGGAACCATTAAATATCGGATCCAATATTGGCCAGGGCAAGGCCTAGTGCAAAATTCTAATCTAAGGCTTCAACAAATGTTTAAAAAAGAAACAGTCATTAGCTGTTTTGATATGTTACACTGTGATATTCTTTCTAGCATTTCCCCCAGGATTTGTTACAAGTGACTATTTCAGTAAGGCAGTAAATGGAAAAGTTGTTGATTCTCCTGTTATCCGTTTAGAAAACTGAGGATTGTGTGCAACATTTTTCTCCTACCCAACTCCAATAATCCAGGTGTAGTATAAAATGGTCTTGGGTGGGTGCTACTTTGTACAATATCTGTGCTGTGAGGTGAGATAGCATTATTAAAAAATAAATGCCGTAGTCCACCACAAAACAGATCACTGGTTGTAATAATCTCTAGCACACATCAAGGCATGCCCACATACAGTGTATGTATTAAACAGGTGGCATAGGACCAGTAGTTAGCACCTGGTAAGGCATTTGATGTGAAATTCTCATCTTTAATTGATTGTATTCCATGTAATAGGTTGTTTGAAGTATTTATATATCAATTGTAAAGAATCTAAATATCCTTAGAGTGGCTTAATGATATTCTACCTAAAAGGGATGCTTTATGTATCAATTGGCATATTATAAGAACAACCATTAATGGAACCTTTTGGTAATCAAGATTCCAATGGACGGATAATTATTTATTATATATCTTTTAGATTGGTTATTTTGAACTGTTAGTAATGACAAAAAGTTTTTTAAAAATTCAATTAAAAAAACAGTCATGTATTACTGAGTGTTAATAAGTACATAAATAAGTTTAAGTTCATATTAATTTGTTGTTCTTTACCTCCATATTTGTCACAAAGAGGTATATTTATCTACTAACTTGTGTACTCCAAAAGTTCTTAATATCATATCTATGGCTACAGGTGAGACGCCTGGAGAAGATTCTAAAGGACAGTGAATCAGGTCTGGGGACAGCATCCGGTAAAATCAACAGCCTCAAGGAGGCCTCATCCCGACTACAGTCTGATCTGGAGAAGTCCCGAGAGGAAATCAAAACTCACAAGACAAATGCTGCCAATTACAAGGTTAGTCAGGTGTAGAAAGATATCAACAATTCCTAAAAAAACAAGCATACAAACTTTAGTGCTATATGTCTTGTTTAAATGATACATGAATTTAATACCAGTAAGTCAAAACTCAGCCATGGTGGCCAAGTGATTAAGGCGTCTTGACATTCTGCTACAACTAGCTCTCCACCACTGGGTCACGGTTTCGAGACCTATATGGGGCAGTTGCCAGCTACTGGCTGTAGGTCTGTGTTTTTTTTCCTGGAACTTTCCTCGATCACCAAAACCTGGCTGAACATGTCAATAGGAGGTAAAACAAACCAAATCTTCATGTTAAAATTCCATAAACACAGGAAATATAAAAAAAATATAAGTAAATTTAGTAAGATGTTTGATAAGAAGCAAATAACATACTATTTTGTACATACATGTATGTTTCATGTGTGCGAGGGTCTGATAACAATATAAAAGGAACACCTGCATACAATATTTTTTTTATTTTACTCAGCTATTTGAAATGTTGTTTCCAGTTATAGACTTTGATGTACAAAGAACTCACATTTAGACACACATATTACAATTAGTATTTCCAAGTATGATTTTATGTGAAACTTTGATAGCAAGAAGTGATGAACAGACACTGTTTTGCCAAATTCGTCTTATATCAGCAAAATTGTTGCTATGACTCTTGTTTACACTCACAGAACTTGTATCTAAGAATTGTAACTTTCTTGAATAGAGAAGTTCCAGTTATTTCAACAGTTATTCCTGATTTTATACACTTTGATGACTGTGCTAGTCCTTGTCAATGTCGTATTCAGGAGTCTACACAGTATATGTAAGTCGCGCTGTGTATAGTCAGTAGGTCTGTGAGTTTCAGTCCCTGTCCTGGTCGTAACTTGGTGTCTAATATTCAGGTATCTACACAGTATATGTAAGTCACACTGTGTAAAGTCAGTAGGCCTGTGAGTTTCAGTACCTGTCCTGGTGGTAACTTGGTGTCTAATATTCAGGTATCTACACAGTATACATAAGTCACACTGTGTAAAGTCAGTAGGCCTGTGAGTTTCAGTCCCTTTCCTGGTCGTAACTTGGTGTCTAATATTCAGGTATCTTCACAGTATATGTAAGTCACACTGTGTATATAGTCAGTAGGCCTGTGAGTTTCAGTCCCTGTCCTGGTCTTAACTTGGTGTCTAATATTCAGGTATCTACACAGTATATGTAAGTCACAATGTGTAAAGTCAGTAGGCCTGTGAGTTTCAGTCCCTATCCTGGTCTTAACTTGGTGTCTAATATTCAGGTATCTACACAGTGTATGTAAGTCACATTGTGTATAGTCAGTAGGCCTTTGAGTTTCAGCCCCTGTCCTGGTGGTAACTTGGTGTCTAGAATATTCAGGAGTCTACACAGTATATGTAAGTCGCGCTGTGTATAGTCAGTAGGTCTGTGAGTTTCAGCCCCTGTCCTGGTCGTAACTTGGTGTCTAAGATTCAGGTATCTACACAGTATATGTCAGTCACACTGTGTATAGTCAGTAGCCCTTTGAGTTTCAGTCCCTGTCCTGGTGAAAACTTGGTGTCTAATATTCAGGTATTTACACAGTATACGTAAGTCACACTGTGTATATAGTCAGTAGGACTGGGACTGAAACTCACAGGCCTACTGCCTATATACACAGAGTGACTTACATATACTGTGAAGATACCTGAATATTAGACACCAAGTTACCCCCAGGACAGGGACTGAAACTCAAAGGCCTTCTGACTATACACAGTGTGCCTTACATATACTGTGTAGATACCTGAGAATATTAGACACCAAGTTACGCCCAGGACAGGGACTGAAACTCACAGGCCTCCTGACTATATACAGTGTGACTGACGTATACTGTGTAGATACCTGAATATTCTAGACGCCAAGTTGCCACCAGGACAGGGACTGAAACTCACAGGCCTCACCAAGTTACGACCAGGACAGGGACTTAAACTCACAGGCCTACTGACTATATACAGTGTGACTTACATATACTGTGTAGACTCCTGAATATTCTAGACACCAAGTTACCTCCAGGACAGGGACTGAAACTCAAAGGCCTCCTGACTATACACAGTGTGACTGACGTATACTGTGTAGATACCTGAATATTATAGACCAAGTTATGACCAGGACAGGGACGGAAACTCACAGGCCTCCTGACTATATACACAGTGTGACTTATATATACTGTGTAGATACCTGAATATAAGACACCAAGTTAAGACCAGGATAGGGACCGAAACTCACAGGCCTACTGACTATATACACAGGGTGACTTACATATACTGTGAAGATACCTGAATATTAGACACCAAGTTATGACCAGGACTGGGACTGAAACTCACAGGCCTACTGCCTATATACACAGAGTGACTTACATATACTGTGTAGATACCCGAATATTCGACACCAAGTTACGCCCAGGACAGGGACTGAAACTCACAGTCCTACTGACTATACACAGTGTGACTTCCATATACTGTGTAGATACCTGAATAATAGACACCAAGTTACGACCAGGACAGGGACTTAAACTCACAGGCCTACTGACTATATACACAGTGTGACTTACGTATACTGTGTAAATACCTGAATATTAGACACCAAGTTAAGACCAGTCCCTGTCCTGGTCTTAACTTGGTGTCTCATATTCAGGTATCTACACAGTATATGGAAGTCACACTGTGTATAGTCAGTAGGACTGTGAGTTTCAGTCCCTGTCCTGGTGGTAACTTGGTGTCTAATATTCTGGTATCTACACAGTATACGTAAGTCAAACTGTGTATAGTCAGGAGGCCTGTGAGTTTCCGTCCCTGTCCTGGTCATAACTTGGTCTATAATATTCAGGTATCTACACAGTATATGTCAGTCACACTGTGTATAGTCAGTAGCCCTTTGAGTTTCAGTCCCTGTCCTGGTCATACCTTGGTGTCTAATATTCAGGTATCTCCACAGTATATGTAAGTCACACTGTGGATATAGTCAGGAGGCCTGTGAGTTTCCGTCCCTGTCCTGGTCAGAACTTGGTGTCTAATATTCAGGTATTTACACAGTATACGTAAGTCACACTGAGTATAGTCAGGAGGCCTGTGAGTTTAAGTCCCTGTCCTGGTCGTAACTTGGTGTCTAAGATTCAGGTATCTACACAGTATATGTCAGTCACACTGTGTATAGTCAGTAGCCCTTTGAGTTTCAGTCCCTGTCCTGGTCGTAACTCGGTGTCTAATATTCAGGTATTTCAACAGTTATTCCTGATTTTATACACTTTGATGACTGTGCTAGTCCTTGTCAATGTCGTATTCAGGAGTCTACACAGTATATGTAAGTCGCGCTGTGTATAGTCAGTAGGTCTGTGAGCTTCAGTCCCTGTCCTGGTCGTAACTCGGTGTCTAATATTCAGGTATTTCAACAGTTATTCCTGATTTTATACACTTTGATGACTGTGCTAGTCCTTGTCAATGTCGTATTCAGGAGTCTACACAGTATATGTAAGTCGCGCTGTGTATAGTCAGTAGGTCTGTGAATTTCAGTCCCTGTCCTGGTCGTAACTTCGTGTCTAATATTCAGGTATCTACACAGTCTATGTAAGTCACACTGTGTATAGTCAGCAGGCCTGTGAGTTTCAGTCCCTGTCCTGGTCTTAACTTGGCGTCTAATATTCAGGTATCTACACAGTGTATGTAAGTCACATTGTGTATAGTCAGTAGGCCTTTGAGTTTCAGTCCCTTTCCTGGTCGTATCTTGGTGTCTAATATTCAGGTATCTACATAGTATATGTAAGTCACATTGTGTATAGTCATAAGGCCTTTGAGTTTCAGTCCCTGTCCTGGTGGTAACTTGGTGTCTAGAATATTCAGGTATCTACACAGTATATGTAAGTCACATTGTGTATAGTCAGTAGGCCTTTGAGTTTCAGTCCCTGTCCTGGTTGTAACTTGGTGTCTAGAATATTCAGGAGTCTACACAGTATATGTAAGTCACGCTGGGTATAGTCAGGAGGCCTTTGAGTTTCAGTCCCTGTCCTGGTCATAACTTGGTGTCTAAAATATTCAGGAGTCTACAGAGTATGTGTAAGTCACGCTGGGTATAGTCAGGAGGCCTGTGAGTTTCCGTCCCTGTCCTGGTCTTAACTTGGTGTCTAGTATTCAGGTATCTACATAGTATATGTAAGTCACACTGTGTATTAAAAGTCAGTAGGCCTGTGAGTTTAAGTCCCTTTCTTGGTGGTAACTTGGTGTCTAGTATTCAGGTATCTACACAGTATACATAAGTCACACCAGGTAAATTCAGTAGACCTGTGAGTTTCAGTCCCTGTCCTAGTCATAACTTGGTGTATAATATTCAGGTATCGACACAGTATATGTAAGTAACATTGTGTATAGTCAGTAGGCCTGTCAGTTTCAGTCCCTGTTCTGGTCATAACTTGGTGTTTAATATTCAGGTATCGACACAGTATATGTAAGTCCCACTGTGTAAAGTCATGAAGGCCTGTGAGTTTCCGTCCCTGTCCTGGTCTTAACTGGGTGTCTAATATTCAGGGATCTACACGGCATACGTAAGTCACACTGTGTATTAAAAGTCAGTAGGCCTGTCAGTTTCAGTCCCTGTACTGGTTGTAACTTGGTGTCTAGTATTCAGGTATCTACACATTATACATAAGTCACACCAGGTAAATTCAGTAGACCTGTGAGGTTCAGTCCCTTTCCTGGTCGTAACTTGGTGTCTAATATTCAGGTATCTACACAGTATACATAAGTCACACCGTGTAAAGTCAGTAGACCTGTGAGTTTCAGTCCCTTTCCTTGTCATAACTTGGGTTACTGAAGGAGTAGTTCAAGCCCCGTACAACATCACCCTTGTTTTGCTTCGTTAGGAAATAGGACACATCCTTAAGAGGAAGTTGATACCGCTTGAAATGGTAGGTAAAGAGTTTGAACAGGAGGATTTTGACTGATGCATTCAGAATGATGAGGGTAGTGTTTATGTTATCAGAACATGAGTTGTCTACTGGAACGACTTTTGTGAATAACACAGTCATTTGCTGGTAAAGTGATCCTCCGTAACACACAAGATGGAGGATTCCAAGCAGACACAGTAGCCAGATGTCCAGAATCGGTTCCCTCTCACCCTTCCTTCGCATCATGACCGTCACGACCTTCACCAGATAATAAACAGTTGAGCACAACAGAAACATGTATGGAGCAAGCATGGTCACTGCAACATTAACAGTGACTGTGTAAAGCTCATATTCAAGTCCTGTTAGACGTTTCTTCATCAACCACGGAGCGTCAGGACTGTCACCTGCTATCTGGTATTCAAACAGTTTGACACCATGGATAAATGTTGCAACAACTGGTAGGGCCACAATACACACGGAGGAGGATTTCAGCAGAAATTTTGTCTGTTCCTTACCATCAGCAGCCTGGTCAGATTCCCTCAGAGGCTTAATGCTAGTGTCGTCACCCTCAATCTGTGTGGAGAGGATCTTTTTGGTAACCAAGGCAACCAGCATCCAGGAGGATGCACATATCAGAATGAAGCTGAGTGCATACCTAGAAATGAAAAAATTCCTCATTGAGAAATGATTTCTTAAGTTTTATTAAATATAGAAAATAAATTATTATTTTCTCAGATTTTACTAGAAAAATTGGGTAAGTTGGACTTGAAATTAAACACTTCAAAGCCATTTTCTGAAGTTCAAATTTCAAATCTTTTATGTTACAATTCAATTAATCGTATAATCTAGATGCCATTTTTACCGCCATTAAACATAATGAACAAGTAAATATTAGGATACACAAGATTGATGTACAGAAAAAAATGAAAGCATAATCAAGTTGGATAATTTTTAGATTTATATATTTTTTCCATTGTCCTTAACAATTATGCAACAAGTGATTTCGAGAGGTTCACATGTACACTTAATGTACTATAATTAAGTATTGAGTTTGGATTCAGATGGTACATAATTCATTTTGCAATGTTTCATTTCCTGTTTTTATGGGAGAAATCTGAAGTGTCTATAGAATTTCTACAATACACATCAGATTAACTTCTACCAATTAGGTGTGGTTTATATATATCCAGTGGTAAACACAGATCCTGCTAGCCTCTCGTACCTCTCACCACAAATTTGTCATTGTACTAGACTTATTTCCTGCTCTGTGCCCGTAACCAATTACAAACCATGTTACTGTCATATACAAATTTCTAACTTATATATAAATAAACTTTTATCCCAAAATATGTGTACAGGTTTGTTTTTATCGAAAAGAAATATTAATATTAAAACATCTGTATTCGTATATTGGCATATGTGTGACCGACTTAATATAGTTTTTAATGCCCTAATTACAGGATTAGGTCTAAACTAGTATTTAGTATAGTGTAGTGTATATAGAGGAAGAAATTCAGTCGGCAGAATGCATGGTTGCGTCAGTACCATTTATAGGACTTGTTGGGTTATTTGTTGTTATTAGACACAATGGTATCAAAGGAGCATTAAAATAATGCAGTATTTATGGAGTAAATAATTTAACCAGAACATTATTTCAACGTGTCTAAACATGAAGACAGCATGTACCAGACTACTACCAACCTTATTCCAATGTAAATGCCAAGCTGGGCATACTGTGACTGGTCCAGATGAATGTATCCGGTCTGGAGAATAAAATAAGGCAGGTTGCTTAACAGGAAGAGTAAATCCGAGACGACAATTGTCATCAGGAAAGATGTTTTATCATCTTGGACCTCAGAGTTACATGTAAATGCCAGGATGTTGATGAGATTTGTCACCACTCCGCAAATACAGAAGATGATGGAGAGTACTAGAGTTGTCACTGTGCAGGTATCAGTGGACGTAGTGGTCACTAATGTATCTAACAGGGTCTGCGGCCGGAGCTCGGAGTGACCATCAGTGTCCAAAAAGCGATCACACAAATCCTTGGTCCAAGTGTAATTCATGGTTATCACAATAGGTTGTGATATTCAGTAAAGTTTCTCCAATGTACTGAGGCCCAGTGCTAAAATGTCTCTCATATAAACTTACACCAGGGAGTCTGAATGCCGGTTTGATACAGTGTGAGGGCTAGGTAGTAACAGACCGTTACAAGCCTCGACTTAGATACATATACCTCCTATTTCAAGGAACCAATGTGTCATCATTAATTTCTGCTTATAAGCTCTCAAATACCTTGAGTTGAATGTAAATAGTGAAAGTACATCAGGAAGTTCCACTTAATAGGGGTCATCACACTCTGTTATTCAAGTACTGAAGGTATTGAAGTTATAATTTCAAGTCAAGGATGTATTATTAGTTCAGCTAAGTTAAACTATCATGGTTACGGTAAACGTGCTGTAAGTATGATAGTTCAGGGTGTACATTTCCTCCATACCATATAAATCCATTTGTATCTGTACACATATTTTATTGAAGATTATAAAATCACCTGTAAATTTTATGCATGCTTATTAATCCTGTAATTTGTAATAATGCCAGGTATATACCTGAAAGTTCAAGGTCTTGGCAAAAGGTAAAAGGTCACATTGTAAAGCTCTAGGCTAATATCACATACATGTATGTTCTAAATGGCTGAACCATTTGTTATAACATCAAAATTGTATCATTATGTGTAACACTTTCAAGTCTGTGACCTAAAGGGCATGGGTTCAAATGTCAAATCTGTGTAATGCACTTACAGTTTGTAACCTCTGAAAACTTTTATGTTTACTAATAAATCTTTCTAGGGGTATTTATCATAATCAGATGGAGTGTTGCATAACAGATTAATAAGGTCCATACAAAATGTATCTAAAAGATATGGAAAGGGTCAAAGGTCAAATCCTTACAACACTTGTCCAAATCATAACATATCATGGTTAGACAGTGATGACAGTTTTGTAGAAAAATAAGGTCATGACAAGGCACAGGTGGATGGGGGTATATGTAATTTAACCTTACTTCACTTTGTTCTGATTGACCATTGAGTGCGGTTTAAGTGATATCAAGTGGTTGAACTTTCCTCCACTTTATGATCTTAAAATTTCTTGAGAGCATTTTTAGAAATTTGATCTCAATCAGGAAGTTGTGAGCATCGTTACATTTGGTTTGTCATCATATTCTAGATGAAAATATTTGTCTTCATATCTAAGTAACTGAGTGTTTCACACTTGATCTTCTTGACAATATCAAAGTACTGTATACTTTAAGTGTATACTTCAGGTACTCCACTTTTGAGACAGTTGACACTTGATTTAATGTTAAATATTTCATACACAGAATTTCTATGTTAGCCCTTGATCTTCAAATCCAGATGTACATGTAAGGATTTGGGTTTTGATATTAAATACTATAAAATTATATAACATACAGGTCATTGAGCAGAGCTCCTTCTTGATCAGCTTACATACTTTTAGACTTATCTGGAGGGACACTTCTAGCAGTTAGCGATACAATTAATTGAATCTTTTGTTTCAACAATAAACCTCCACTCTTAGTTTTCAATCAGTATTATTTGACTTTACTGTTGTAAAGCCATTTACTGACTAACCTATCAGTCTCTTTTATTTATTTATTTATTCATTTTTCACATCTTATCAAAGCCAAATTAATGTCATTAAAATCTGGTGTGGAACAGGTATCTTATAATGAGCTGTTCCGTATAGAACTCTCCTCCTCTTCTGTACCCATTTCAGGTAATATCTGAAGGTTAAAGTTGTGTTCTGGTTTTTTCCGTAGGCTGAACTAGAAAAACTCAAGAAACTGCATGAAAGGAAGCTTGAAGAGGCACAACAAGAACTGAAGACAAAACTTGACCAATTGGCCAAAGACCTGGAATCAAAGTGGTCAGATAATCTCAGGTGAGAAACAAACAGCTGCCATAGTTTCAATGGGCACCAGCTTGAACAAGAACAGTAATGCAGGATCAAGTGTATATGTTCAATTTGTTCCTGCAATGACCACTGTTAGTTCAAAAATAGACGAAATGAAATGAAATTTTACCACTCACTGAGAGGTGTTAGGAGATTCAATTTCCATTGTCAAAGAGAAATATCAATATAGATATACAGGAATAAGTATACAATTCAACAATTTTTAGTACTTTATGCTTTACTGGCCCACCCTGTATTTTCAAAGTAAATACATGTATCAATTTTTTTTGCTGGCCCTGACATCATATCGACTAACCCTGGATGTTGGGCTAGTGATATTGTACATCCCTGTATATATGTTAGCAGTAGAGTTTTATTTGGAAGCTGTCAGTAAGTATTTAACAAATGGAAAGTAAAACTTACCGATGAAATAAATGCCCTACTTATTTTTCTCGTTGACAGGAAGGAGTGTGCACGGCTGAAGCTGGACCTGACCCAGCAGAAAGACGAGGAGAAAAAGGCAGCTCTCCAGCAATTAGCACGGCTGAAGGATGAGGAGGTGGTGGCGGCGCGAAGAGGCTGGGAGAACAAAGTCCAGGAACTCCATAGTCAGGTACTAAATACACTAGTGTTATCTGGAGCTGGCCTGGGTCAAAGTCTTCTTTAGGACGGCTTTCTGAAAAAATTCTATTTCAGGATTCATGAAAAGGATATAATGATAGTTCTGTATTAAATTTTGTTTTTAAGTAGTTTTGACTTAGAGATTATTTTTTATTAAAGTACTGTATATATAAGACATAATGAGCACCCTATCAGGTGCAAGCAGCACCCACCCATTTTCTGGTCTGAATGCCGCATTCCCTTCACAATATTATTTACCACCCTTCCTTAAAGTATCACACTTTTAACAAAAAAAATACTTTTAATAGTTTCTGCTGTCAGTGTAATTGTCCCCTGTGGCAAAAGCACCTAGGGCACTTAAATTATTCGGTTAATTACAGTATTCAAAACTTAAGTTGAGGTCATATTACTTAAAAGTTGGATTCTTGGTCATATTAGTTTCTTCCTGTTGTACATTGAAGGCTGAAATTAACAAATGGTAAAAAAAACACTCTTCCAAAATTATCTTCTTCTGGAAAAATAAAGATGTTTTAAAGGTGTATGTGATAAACATATGTAAATAATAAACCAAAATGTAAATAACCTGTTAACAAAGGTTGTAGCAAAGACATGCATGTTTAAAATGATATATTAAAACTGAGGTGTAAATACAAAACACGTTGGGGAGGAAAATATACAGAATTTGACAGCAAGTAAGCTCAGACTCTTTTAAGACCCCCTCCCCCCAGGGTTAGGATGGAGATACTCGCAATAAGTGAAGCCTCCCTGTTTTATATTTTCTGTCTGTGACATGACGTATTATATTGAAGATGAAGTATTTTGTAATGTGCCTGTTTTTAGCTTACCTACTACAGCCCCAATGAGGTAATAGTGTGGTGCTGTACCTCTCCACCTCACTCTTCACTGAAATAGTTCTCAGCCTTCTTGCTATATATACAAACACCCCCCGTCTTTGCTTTGGGGTTGTATGTAAGAATCACACTGGCTGTCTGTCCATCTGTCCATTATCTTTATAAGCACAACTCCTCGTTACCGACTGTTTGTTGGATTCATTTGTTATGTATCATAGTGAAACTACATCATATGTCGGTGTGCATGAAGTAAGTGATTCAACTATTTTCCTGGAGTTCTGGACTTTGAAACTTTCTTTCTGCTCCAGAAATGTAAGTGCAAGCAGGAGGATATATCTTTGTGAGCTCGCTCACAGTTTCACTAGTGTTTATGTCGGGGCACATTGTATATAACAGATATCATTGGGACCCATATATGATAAATGCTTTTTCTTACTCAATTAGCTGGACAGACTAAAACGAAATTTGGAGGACAAAGAAGGTGTGAATGCAGAAGAAATGGCCCGCCTGAGGAAAGAGATGGAGGAGGAGAAGAAAAGACTGGAGTTGGACTTTGTCGAGGCAGGAAATGAGTACGCTCAACAGATATCAGTGATGGAAGGAATGCAACTGGAAAAAGTCAAGAAGTTAGCAGAACAGAAGGACCAAGAGGCGGAGGTAAATCATTTATGTGAATTAATGCATTCATTATTTAGCTATTAAAATGTTAAGTTTGTAATTCACACGCATAAAGGGGAAAGGGCCTACATTAGTGTAGTAAGTTGCTTGAACTTGTGCCTAATCCATTTGACCTTTTTAATAAAATATGATTGAATGAATTAATGGATAGCTGAATTTATTGTCAAACTTTTATATTTAAAACCCTGCTACTGTACTATTTATAATGTCGAAAAACTGTTGTGCTTTTTATATACTTAAATTTTCGATGTATTTGTAAGGGGATTATGTCGCAATATTATTTGAATTAAAAGCCTACATTTCAAGTATGTTCCTCCTTTAGATCTTGTACTGTCTACACAGTATGGGCAGTGTCTTGAGGTAATAGTCAGCCTGAAATAACTTAAGGGTTTAATTTCAGCTTTACAGTATCTATGATGTGAAGATTGTCTTGAGCACAGGGATCAGTCGAGACCTGGAACATGAGATAGTGTTAGGAATGTTTAGGATACTATTTTTTTTAGTGTTGTGGAGGGAATTGATTGTTGATGAGTTTAGATGCTGTGTGTGGGCAGAAGTTCTGTGACAAGAGTTGAGTGTTTATGTAGAGGAGTGCTGTTTCCTGGCAGTCTGTTCAACACATGCTTACATAGATATGTTGATTTACAGGAATTAAAAAGGAAGCTTCATGCAGAACATACAGAAAGTATGCAAAGCAGCATGACCGCTCACAGAGCCAGAATAGAGAGCATCAAGTCTGAGGGAGAAAAACTGCGGCTTCTTAGTCTGCAGGAGGCAAAACAGGAACACCGCAAGGAAACAGGTACGCTGTACTACAGGGCTAGAGGTTCTCTTGATCTTCTGTGACAATTACTAATATAGGTATACCAGTAACTTACACCCTGTATTTCCTCCTCAACAGTCTATATCTACTCATTGTTAACGTCATTCCTCCCAGTAGAAATACTAAGACAATACTGTATCAATTTGCTCAGTGTTAATTTCAACATCAAGATGAATTCATTTTCATCACAAAAAAGTGATAACGACAGTTAAATGTAGAACTGTAGTGGACATTACTTAGCATACAATAACCATCAGTTGAAGTGCTGTTTAAAGCATTTGCATTATTCATTATTCCTATGTTAATAATATCCTTTCTGCAAACAGAAAAGATCAAGGATCAGATTTATGAGCGCCACAGTAACGAGATGGAAGAGGTGAAGAGAGGACATGGCTATCAGTTGGATGCAGCGAGAATGGAACTAGACCGCGCTGTGGAAATCTCTAAACAGAAGGTTCACTATGATAAATAATGAATGACTCTTGAATACTTGTACAAAAAGTTAACATTAATACAATAAAAACTTCCTGTAATATCAATATATACATCATGATGATCTCATCTGTAATTCTATATTATTAGTGAAGTGTTGAACTTGTTTAGCCCTGAATTCAGTAAAAACAAAATAAATAAAGAATAGAATTATTAACAAAAAGTTATGTTTCCGTCCATGTCTAGGACAAAGATCACACAATACAAATGGATGAGTTGAAGGAAGAGGTAACTGGACGGGAACTACATATAAAAAATCTCAAGGATGATGTCAAAGGCCTTAAAACTGATATTGGTAAACTGACGAGGGAGATAGATGTCAAGGGGAATGAAATCCTCAAGATTAGAAGTGACGCAAACCTTCAACTCAAGTAAGTATGGTAATCAATTGTGGTTATCTCCCTTTGACTAGCATAAATGCCAAGTATGACAGGAAAATAAAAACAAAAGATTTAAAAAGCTACACTGTTATGTAAAATATATGTTTCAATAAATAATCACTGCTGGAATTTTTGTTTAAGTTAATTGTTATGCATGTGCTATTTAATTAACTGCCAGACACTAATACCAATGTTCAGACCAGTTCTCTGTAACCTCTCAATGCACTTGAACAGAAGACACTTCTGACACATGAATGATAGAGGAAACAGGCGGAGTTTATATCCAAAAAAAATGATCAATTGTAAAAAAAAGTTGTTTACATCACCTAGGAAACGAGAGGAGGTGTTAGTACAGAAGTTCCAGCATGAGATTGAGTGTGTAAAGGCAGACCACCAGAGAGAGGCTGAGACACTGATGGCCGACTTCACTGAGGCTCAGGAACTCCTCAAGGACAAGATCTCGGAGTTACAAATAATGTAAGGATCAACACCTATCAGTATTATGCTATTAGAAAAGACATTTCAGTGGATTGTAGTCATGCTTATAGAGTTGTTTAAACTAGATTTTACATCATAGTTTGCATGTCATAACTTACTGAGGTTGTTTGTGGCATTCTGTTTTACTCGTATTTTGATAGACTTTTAGGATATTTATAGAACAAAAAGCCACATTTATAGAACTTGTGAATCCTCAACAAGTAATTCTGAAGTGTTTTATGCTTGACGTCTCTTTCTTCATCTGTTGCCCTGTCACACATTTAGTAATTTCCCTAGGCCATTTTAATAGTTTATACCAGGTGACATATACCTTTCTGAGAGTCTGTTTTGAAACATAAGCATACCCGAGTCATCAGACTAATATGTATGTTACGGCAGACAGCTGAATTCTGATCGGTTGATGGTTTACAAAGTCTAGTTTTAATGAACAAATTTCCACCAGTGGTTGCCACAAGGTGTGTTTTGGGATGATACTTATAAACCGGCCCTGCCCATCTCACTCCTGCTAGAAGTATATCTCTGTCCCTGTTTTTCCCTAATTTGATGTTGACCATTAACAGATGGGGGACTATATATGGATGGGTCTTTAATAGTTTGTCTTGTTTTATTTGTAATATTGGACAGACTTTTTAGACATATATAGAACAAAAAGCCAAATTTATAAAACTGATTTCTGTTATTGAAAGTATAATAGCTGTGTACATGTACTTCATGTTTTATACTGCATACTGTATATCCTCACAGTTGATCTTCTTAATTAGCTAATTAAGATGTGCTCTGTTTTATTACTTGCATAATGACCATTTTCAGGAGGGAAAAGGGCTTCTGAAATTATTTTTTTGTATATACTCTCATGCTTAAAGAAAGCTATTTAAAGTCAGCCATCAGTTTAGTAAACATCAGTAAAGATTAGAGGACTGGAACTGTACGTGCTATTGATCTTGTTTTTGTAGGCTGGAAGAGGCAGAGGAAAAGTACCACAATCGCGAATCACGGCCAGAAGATTTAGAGGCCATCTCACAGCTGAGAGATGCCATTAGGGAGAGGGAACTAAGGATGAAAACATTGATAGTACGTTTGCTGATTTTGTCATGATAATTGATTTATTAGGATCAACTCTTACTGCAGAACTTTAAACTTTATTACAAAGTTTAGTTCTTTTCTCTCAGAACCATCTTTACTTATGGAAATACTTACTGTAGGTTTATTTTGTCAGTTTGTTTTTTCAGAATTGAATAGTTAATGTAGAAATGGAGTAATATTGTGCTTTGACTGGTGAAATTATTGAAATATTTTCTAAAAAATTGTTTTCTATGGAAAAAAAATGAAATTGAACCAAAAAAAGAAACGATAAAAGGATGTTAAGATCTGTTCACTGTCATTACCCTTTCTATCATTTTCTAACTATAAATAACAACTATCAGGATATAAATGATGCCTTGTGTACTTGTAGGAGGAGAAACAGTATTACCAGATGGAGCTTGTTAACAGGGAAACAAACTTTAATAAAGTTTTCAACACTGATCCGAAAGTTGGGGTCCTTAACCCACTTCAGAAAGTAAGTCATATAGCTAGCTATGAACTTGTGATAAAGTGTTAACACTGATCCAAAACTTGGATGTTCTCATAGCCAAACTTTAAGGAAAATAGTAAGGTACATGGACATATGCATACAAGAGTTTACAGATTGTCTTTACCTATATGCACTAAAATACAAACATTATTTCTACCTGTACAATAAGTTACAAATTGCCTCTCTAACTATAAAAAAAACCTAACCTATTTACTTATACAATAAATTATAAATAGCCTCTTCCTATACACAAAGTTACACATATTCTATCTACCTGGACAATAAGTTATAACTAAAAGCTTTACCTATACAATAAGTCACAGTTATCCTCTCTACCTAGTTGTCTGCATTACTAACTAGATACCATAAGTTTAAATAACCTTCTGCCATAAAATAAATTAAAGCCTTTCTCCAATAGGTCAAAGATATCTTGTTTTCTGTTTACACCTAACACTTTGCTTCATTCTTTTTTAAAAACAGATCATGTCACCTTATTTTCACAATCTTCTATTTCTGTGTTTGTTACAGAAGCACAAGAAAGGGGAGAGGGGAGGTAACTATCATTCCAAGCACACCTCAAGTGCACCAAGTCTGAATCGCCTGGACCCCATCCCCAACTCACCGATCCACAACGCCAATCTGAACCCATCTAAACCCCTGGGTCCCACTCCTGCCTTCACCAAGAAGTTTGTCAGATAGTTCATTATCAATTCATGTTTTCTGTTATTGGAAAGTAGTGACAGTTATGTGATAATATCCAGTAGCGGCCTCGGGCAAACAGTTCCCCAGGGCTTCCCCCTATATGTACCTCGGGATGATAGTTTTGACTGTCCCCCAAATAGCCATATCTGTATTGGCTGTATTGGTCGGTAAAGATGTTTTATGGAAGTAAATAGTATATGGAATTAGCAGTTTAATTTTGATACAGATATTGTATACCACAGATGTAACTTGTGGAAGCCATCGTTTCATGAAGGGTCAATCTATTGTCACACATTTGTTGTTGTTACAGATTCTGCAAAATGTAATATATTTCACACCTTTCATATTTTTGCTTTCAAATGAGGAAATTATTTCAGCATCGGGAGGAATATTTTATACAAAGTCAGCTGTACTGTCGAGTATATATGGATGAAGCCAACACTTGACAGAACAGTTTTAAAAGGCCAGACGGGAAATATTGGTGGGGTAAAAGTATTAGGGATTACATTTAATGGCTGAATCAACCTAACCCATCATGTACACTTTAATGAAAAGACCCAGGTATCATGCTGTTTGGTACCAGTCTTCCCTGAACATTTAAATAACTATACCACCACTTTGATTTGTACATACATGTACAGTGTATATTGAATGCTGCTGATCTGTCAACAAGTTGTCTGGTGATCATGAGTGGAGTGGCCTGAAGTTTAACTGTGATATTGTAAAATTCGATCATGATTTATGTATATATATATGTGTAATTATTCTTTGAAAGAGTAACAGTATTGAATATTTTTTGTATCTGTCTCCTATTTTGGAGATTGATTGTGACTTTTGTTCCTCTCAGCTTACCTAATTTAGTGTACAACAGGCTTACCCTACTTTTGCCAAAGAGAGACCGAGTATTAAGAATATAAAAACAAATTTTATGTTTACTTGCTGAAGATAAATGGAAGGATGTAATATAAGTCTGTTTTATAAGTGGATGCATTTAATGGCTTAGAATTCCTGTGATCTGTTTTTGTCTTTTGAAAATCTGCTTTTCCTTCTCCTGGTGATAGTTTTGTTTTTCAATCTTTGTACTGCTAAAAACTGCGTGTACTGTGCACTGTGTGTACTGGGTACTGAAATCTGTAATTTGCACTGCTGAAAGCTGGGTTTACTGGGTACTGAAATATTTGTACTGCTGAAAACTGGGTGTACTGGGTACATTTATTTACTTGGAGCCAGTTGTTATTTATTTAGTGCTATGATTCTTGAGCTTATCTGTGATACCAGAATCTGTACATATTTCTTTGACATGCTGATGTATATTTTAACAGCATGTGGTCCATAATACATTGACATATATAATATATAAAGGTCATTATGACCGAATTTTGTACAATTTTGTTGAGAGACTGACCAGTGAGTGAGTGATATACTGATATACTTATTAAGGTCATGGTGACCTTATTTGGTATATTTTTTGGCAGGAGACTGACCTGTGAGTGATATGCTGATACATGTATTCGTAGTAAGGTCATTGTTACCTAATTTGGTATATTTTTGTTGAGAGACTGACCAGTGAGTGATATACTGATATACTTATTGAGTTCATTGTGACCTAACTTGGTTTATTTTTTGGCAGGAGACTGACCTGTGAGTGATATGCTGATACATGTATATATACTTATTAAGGTCATTGTGACCTAATTTTGTATATGTTTGATAAGTGTCCTGTAAGTGGTGCGTTGACATTGTTTCTCATATATTGTTGATGGGTAAATGAACTATGAGGGGATGTGACCTGCTTTTGTGAATTAATGTATGTTCCTATGTCTTTCTAGTTTCTAATTTTAAAAGGTAAAAGGAAACATCATCAAACACACCATCTTGTATATATATGTACATTGAACAGAACATAGTTATATATATTGGTTGGTAATTGTCCTCCAGAGAAAATATGCTACCATACACTTTATACCTGTGATTTGTGTTTGAGTTATCGGTGTTTGGCTGTAGGATATATATGCTACCTTACACATCATACCTGTGATTTGTGTTCGAGTTATCTGTATTTGGCTGTAGGATATATATGCTACCATACACATCATACCTGTGATTTGTGTTTGAGTTATCTGTGTTTGGCTGTAGGATATATATGCTACCTTACACATCATACCTGTGATTTGTGTTTGAGTTATCTGTATTTGGCTGTAGGATATATATGCAACCTTACACATCATACCTGTGATTTGTGTTTGAGTCAGCTTCCTTAATGATGCATCCTACGTAAATACCATACCATACACATGACATACTTGTTATTTTTTGTTACAGTTATCTGCCTTTAGGATATATTATACGTGGGATTTGTGTATAATTTATTTCCCTTAAAGATGTAAACTTTGTTGCATACTATGGGTGTTTTTGTGTAATAGTTATCTCCCTTAGTAAATGTGTTAGCACATACATTAAAACTGTGAGTTGTTTCCGAGTTACATCCCTTAAGGATGTATGTTACCTTAAAAAAAGACACCAATGATTTTTTGTTATCTTCCTTCAGTATCTCCCACCTTATAATGCTGGTGAGTGTTATCCCCCTTGGCAATGATTAAAGTAATCTTAATGTAACCAGTGTCTGTAGCTCAATGTACTTGTACCGTCATCCATTAGTCTACCAAGTCAAAATTATCATTCAGTAAGATATTTTACAGGTTTCCATGTGTAAACACGTCACAGTGAGGTATCACAAATCTCTAAATGAGGTCTACTGATAACAGCACAAAAACTAAAGGAGTTATAAGTCTGGAGAATACCCAGTGCTCATTAAAAGTCTGGGGAATACCCAGTGCTCATTAAAAGTCTGGAGAATACCCAGTGCTCATTAAAAGTCTGGGGAATTAAACAAAACTATAATAATTCAGTTCAGCTACTTACTGGATGATTACTCTACTTGACATTCTATTCAACGGGAGACTACATTTTGATTATATTTATAGATTCTCAAATCTCATGAGACTGAAATTAATTAATCTGTATTTAATGACATAATAATACTCATTTGTATAACAAAGTGATGGAAAACAGAAATAGCAGGATTCACGTGAAGGCATTCTTTATAGATGTGTCCGACATGTCGTTAGAATCTCCAGAGTTTTTGTATTAATATCGTGTGAAACGCTGCCATTTCCTTAGTATCCAGAAAGTTTAAGTGCTTGCAGATTGCCAGAACTAATACAATGTAACGCTTTTGAACGATTTGTCTTCAAAGGACACATAAAATTGAATTTCCTTTCTTGCAGAAAATGTTTTTTTTAAAGGAGGAAATTGCTTTTATGGATTTTTTGTAATATGATGAGGGTAGTCTTTCATCTTTCTGACACTACACCGTACATCCTATGCAATGAAACATGCTTAATTAATTACCTATATGCTAGGCATTTTGTAAGAAACCAAGTTCCTTTATTTTTCTGTACAAGGACAGAGTTACCCTTGTAGACTAGGGAGGTTTAATTATAGCTGTTTCATATGTAACTGGTCCTGTGATTAAACATCAGTTACCTTACTTTTCAAATCTTTGTAATTATTGCACAGGTTTTGCAAATATTTGTAATTACTGCACTGATCTTTGCAAAAACAAAAACAAAACGATTGACAGATCTGTAAAATGATCCATTATTAAAGGAAGGAAAAAGTCATTATTTTTTAGTATTGAAGTTTGCTTACATTAATAACAGATCGAAGGGACTACCTGAAGTTAAAAGTGTTAGCATCAGTAACACCTAGTAAACTCTGGATCACCTTAGTGACTATTGTCATGGGTCCAACTCAGTAATGTATTATACTGACAAGTGACATATGTCCTCTCCTAATGTTATCAGTCTGTGTTACATGTAACATTTGATAAGTTGTTTGTAGTACCTCTAAATTTTACAGGTGTGAGATTGAGCGTCAACACAAACATTGACTTTAGCTCATTAAAAAAAATTAGTTACAATATTTCTTTAGCAGGTATCACTATCATACTACTGGTGCTTATCCCTATACATACTCGGTATCATACAGAATTATATAGATATTGACTTTCATGTTTAATCCAGAAGACTCCATTTGTACTGTCCAAGGTAGTAATTAGAAATTGCAGAGTGTAATAACAAAAAAAGTCAACCGCAGATCTGTCTTTATTTTGAACATCATGATATAACACTACAAATGTTCAAGAAAGTTGTATTTTTGTAGAATTTAAATACGGTAGTTTGACCTTATTAGCTTTACATGTAGAGGTGTCAACATCTAATGTGATGGTTCCACAGTCTCTCAAATTATTTTAACAATTTATGTTTTTTTTTAGATTTCATAAATAATGTACCAATATTAACCCTCTCTTATATTTTTGTCTGAATTAGTAATTTGTCAGAGCAAATTGTGATAAAATTACAATTTATCCTTAAATTCCGTCCATGTTTTATGATTTTATATACATGCTATCAATCCGTCCAAATATTATGATTTTAGAATTTGTGTCCCACAGACAAAGTAACTATGATTAGTGTTGGTGGTACATGTCTCCTGCACATGTTTATCAATAAATATGTTATGTTAAAACAAATGATACAGATGTACATTTATATGTCTTACAGGACGCATTCCTATGTCTTACAGGACGACATTCATATGAAAATGGCCGATTTAAACTATTTTGTAATGAATAAAAATAAAATGATTGCCAGAATACTTAAATACTATGACTTTCTTATTTATTTATTTTTTTAAATTTTTTTCTTGCAACGGAATCTGCTTGTCTAATATTAATGCATATTATATGTATCGGACCAAAACCGCGAGGTGATCAATAACTGTCTCACAAAATGATCTGAGCTGATCTGGGATGGATGTCTGCGAGATTTTGTGTCTGCAAGGCCTGCAAATGAAGGGCAATCAATTGCAAGGTCATCCGAATTGGTCAAATGCTTGATAAAATTCAAACAACTTCTAAAAAAAATAATGGATTGATTTAGCTTGCTAAGATGAAGAGCTATCAAACTTCCGATCCATTTTCAACGTCAAAGGTTAAATGTTTTAAAATGAAATCTTCTATATATACTACGAGAGCTACTATTTGACCTGTAGCTTGCTGGTGTGTCTATCAATATGCATACGTTTTAAATGAGTACTTTATCAAGCATTTCTAGTGATTATTTTACATCATGTAGTTGCCGGTGGACTGGCAGTCCCAATGATGGCCATAACTTAATTTATTCTGTGACGGTTAATACATGTTTAAAATATACCTGTTGTTGCCATTTTTATATTTATGTATTTTTAACGTTATAACGGATATAAATACCCTTTTCCCCTTTTATGTATAACTGCATACTGTATGTATCGGAACACTAGAATTGGACTTTTTCATTCTTTTGTTTTTCGTACCACTGGTGAGTCTTAATAGGACTAAATGGCCATATGATGCAGCAAATCTTTACTTCATCTCTGCTCTCTGCATCAGCTTACTAAATTTTACAATGGATGTTTATTCGAGATTACAAGGTGGTTGGCTGGTGCTGATGGAATATCAGTTCCCGGAGTTGGCCGTAATGATGAAGCTGGAAATAACTCGAGCCCACTTTACATGAAATATTATCTTGTTTACGAATAAATTACCCGGTTTTGAAGTATTAGGTTCATTACTGCCTATTTCTAGGGATTATTTTAAAGACTTCATTGTTCGGCCAAGAGTACTTGAATTTGGCATGTAGTTTGGTAGGATAACAGACATCAATTCTGTGAAATAAAATGACTGACCCACATGTGTAAAACATACAGTGTACGCTGGCTTGCTTTCAAGTAAATTTGGTTTTGAAGGTCACATGTGTGCGAGATGTGTATTACAGCACCAATGATAGTCGAGCGTTACAGGACAATTTTATCTCATATTTCCTGTGTCAAGATGACCATGTGATCTAAATAAGCTTTAGAGTTGAAAAAGAAAACTTTCGTGAAGTTGAAATTAGAACTAATAAGAGAATCAGAAGATTTTGTTTTTAAGAAAAATATTTAATTTCTGATAATCCCGTCTCAAACTCCAATTAGTTTGTAACATCGCATAATTTATATTCTGAATACAAGGACCCAGCCGTTTGAAGTTATAAAGCATCACACATTGAAACTCACATTTTGAAACATTTTGGATTCATGCAAGTCCCCCTAATTTCATATACGTCATCAGATATGGCTTGAACTAGGAGTATCCAACAGCGGATCTCGGCAAATGACCTCTGAATAGGAAATAAATCGCAAGTATTTAAAGGATTATTATGGGTGTGTCGGATTAAAATTAAGATGGACATTGGCATAAACGTGGACAGAAATCTTCGTTCGGTCAGTGCCATGTGTAAACAACAAACACATGATTGTGGTGTCAGTATATCAACAAGAGTTTGACGCTACGAAGCACTAGTCTAATACGGGCGTTTTTCAATCACTCTGTTAAAATGTTATTGAGTCAAACTTATGTGGTATATCGCGCTCCGAACAGCACAGTTGACTATCTACTTCCTGAAAATGTTCAACTCAACGTCATTAGGAACATATGTTCCATAGACCAATACTTCTACTTGCAGATTGGTGGAGATTTCGTCCTCATCGACGTACATGTAAATTGGTAAAAAATACACCATTATCATTGAACACTAGTATATGGGAGTTGTCAACGAGACGATTGCATCAATGAAGGAAGAATGAGGGCCCATCAGGTCGTTAACATCTTCACCAGAGATGCTAACTCCATTGAACTTTAATCACTACTTAACAGAAGCGAATCCCGCTCAGCCACTAGCGAGCTCGTGTAGAAACCTGATAGGAGGAGATTCACTGCGACAGGAATTGAAACTTAAGTCTAACGAAAGGAATCTATGAAGAAAATGAAGAACATTTTACCCAAATATTGAGCACTGTGTCTGACGTTAACACAGCCCTGATTCCATTTCATCACCGACATCAACAACAAATTAAACTTTGATATGGACAAAATAGGATTCGAATCAAAAGCTGCATCAACGAGCCTGGGCAACCAAGCACCAACTGGATTATGCATTTTAAAAGCAGGCCAGTTCCATATCCAGTTAGCTGCAGAAAGGCTGAGCACGACGTCAATACTAGGAATGGCGGTAATAACGCAAACCCGAAGCGCTTCTGGCACTTCAAATTAAGAAATCAAGGTATGGAGTAGTCCCCATGAAAGAAGAAAGAATGACAAATTGCGATGCTGAGAAGAAAGACGATATCCTTTAGACCAGTGTTTTCCTCCGTGTTTTTGAGGAAATCATTTCGACCCATGAAAGACCAAAAAATAGTGACGAAATCCACACCATCGTCCCTAACATCCATGTGTGGAATGCGAAATTTTAATGTCCTGCCATAGCTTGAATTCCCATAAGGAAACGATTCTAATAAGATTTCTAACACTTCAATAATCAGGGCGAAAAATCTCCCCTCCTTTGGTTTCTCTCCGTCAGTCGCATAAATCATGGGAAAATATCGGAGAATCGAAACCAAAGACGATCTTCAAAAACGTACACCTATTGCATTCTTAAGACGGCGTTAAAATGTAATCATCCAATTTTAACGGCAACATATGCTAACAAACACATTCAGACGGCTTCAGGAAAAGATGATCATGCAAAACCCAACTTAATTTCTTCTTTGACAAAATATTTAAGTATGTTATTTTATACTTTGTATTACTAGTGATTATTTGAAAAACCAATTCGATATCGATAAGTTATATTTGGTCTATAGCTTGGTAATACAACAGAAGGTTGTTCAAAGAAATGAGTGACTATATGAGAAGAATATATTGAAATAGTATTTTTCTGCAGATAAAGCTTTCTTACTGTCAGGTTAATTTGACATTTAAAAGTCACGGGTGTTTGTGATATATTACAATACAGGCGAACGTTAGAGGTTAATTTCACATGTATTCCTGTTGTTAAGATGACCATTATGTCCAAATTAACATGCAGGTTAAAAAAATGTATCTTTTGGGAATTTAAAATTAAAAGATACTCTGAATACATTGTACCGTTATCTAGCCGTATATACTTTGAAAGCATCGAGCTTTGACCTATTTTGTATTCTTGAATATGTTATTTTTAGGACTAAAGGGATTAATATGAATGCGTCATGTTATTCATTTAGTCGGACAATGACGTAAACGTAGACCGAACCCATCGCTCGGTCACGGTGACCCAAGTCCATTGTGTTATAACAAATCCCTGATAGCGGAGTCGGTATATAGCCCTCCGAACAGCTTACTTGACTACACCCTGTTCAATTTAACGTCATTAGGAACATACGTCTCATGATGGAAATTTCAACCTCGTCGACATACAATTGAAGTAAATCTTCATCATGGATTAGTATATGGGAGCTATCGACGAGACGTTTGCATCAACTGAGAAAGCACTTGGGCTTCATCAGGCCGTTTTAAATCTTTACCAAAGATGCTAACTCTCTTGACCTTTTCTTTACCCACCTTCAATCCATAGCTAACAATTATAAACCCGTCCCTGAAATAAACGATCTTGATATTGTCTGTGTTTATTACCACAACGGTGTCCTTGCGTAGGACGACACTAAAAGGAAAATACATGATGAAGGAGAGGACACTAAATGTAACGAAGGGAATGTAGTAAGCATGTTTTGATGTATCGGATGTAAATACCGTAAAGAAACATTCAGTCCTATTCCATCGGCAACATCAACCAATTAACCAATGAAAGTAAAATATGTACACACCCAATCAGCTTACAGAAAAGCTTTCAACTATGTGAATAAAAGGATTGTTGGTAATAAAACCACCAAAGAAAACATTGCAGACAAGCCAGACCAATAAATAGTGTCAACATGTACAACGAATCTCAACACCCATGTGCAGAACAGCGTGATTTCAAGTTCTTCCATACGTTTGGTTAAAGTAAAGTAGCTGTCGTGTTCTTTGCAGAAGAAACTGCTCCATAACAGCTCTTACCCATACATTTTATTACTATGGTTCGTATTCAAGGGTTTCCATTTAAATCTATCCATTGCCCATTTTTTGCTCTAGTTTAGTCAATATCGTTGATTTATGTTTTCTACTATTTTGATTTTATCTTGTTTTCTTTGAAGACCTGAATAAGCTAAATATACAAACAAATAAAAAATAAATAAAAAAGCTGAATGGTTGACAACTCAAAATTATTTCACAAATTGCCGTATGAACATCTCCGGAGATTACACCAATACATCATAAAAGGTGAAATTGACACCACACACAATCGGTGAAAGACGTCACCCAGTGACCCCGGTTTCCCGAGGGACAGTCATCTACCCTTATATATTTCTGGCGTAAATTAATGAAATGACTAGCCAAGCTTAGTCAATCGCACGCCTGTTAACATATGACTGCCTGATATACTCAAATGTAATGATTATTGACTGTAAAGAGCTCCGAGGCAACATTTATGGTCTTCAGAATGGGATGATGAGCTTAACCCCGAGAAGTGCAATATGTGCATCTTCACCAGCAAAAAGAAACATCTGCATCACCCAAACAGCATTTACAACCCAACCACTACAGCACGAGAATTAGGCTTGAACCCTGACATGAACGATCTTGATATTGTCTGTGTTTATTACCACAACGGTGTGCTCATGTAGGACCTCACTAAAAGGAAAATACATGATGAAGGAAAGGACACTAA